AAACTCAGATCAGACAACAATGACCCTAAATGGATAAATAATTATTTAAAGAACATCATTGGCCAAAAGAAGGCTATAGGTAGAAGGATAAATCGTGGCGAAATTCACCTCCGGGACTATTATAGGGTATTGGCGAGTAGAGTTAAAACCGAGATAAGGAAAGCAAAGAGGAATAATGAGGTAAGGGTAGCAAGGGAGGCGAAGACAAACCCCAAAGGATTCTACCAAATGTATCAAACTAAAACACGAGAAAAGATTGGACCAATACGGTCAGACTCCGGCGAGCTCACTGATAACGACGGAGAAATGAGCAATAATTTAAATAAATATTTTTCAACAGTTTTCACCACCGAAAATTTAAACATGATACCCGAGGCACCGACTCTATTCAGAGATAGTGAAGAAAACAAATTAAGTGAGATAGTAGTGACTAGTAACGATGTTAGTAAGCAAATAGACAAACTAAAGCCTAATAAGTCACCTGGTCCCGATGAGATATTTGCCAGAGTATTAAAGGAATGTAAGGAAGAGCTTAGTATGCCCTTAGCAAAGTTGTTTAACATGTCCTTAAAAACAGGTGTAGTACCAGAATCCTGGAGGATAGCGAATGTAATACCGATTTTCAAGAAGGGGGATAGATCACTATCCTCTAACTACCGCCCAATCAGTCTAACATCAATAGTAGGCAAATTACTGGAAGCAATCATTTCAAACTCTATTCGAAATCACCTGGAGAAGCACCGATTGATCAATGATTCCCAGCATGGCTTCACAAGCGGACGTTCTTGCCTAACTAATCTATTAACATTCTTTTCATCAGTTTTCGAATCAGTGGACGAGGGGCACAATTATGATGTGGTATATCTCGACTTTAGCAAAGCCTTCGACAGAGTCCCCCACGAAAGACTAATTAGAAAGGTAGAAGCTCATGGCATCAAAGGTGACATCCTTAAATGGATTAGGGCGTGGTTACAGGACAGGAAACAGCGAGTGAGCATTAACGGCACTAAGTCCCATTGGAGCAACGTCACAAGTGGAGTTCCCCAAGGCTCAGTACTTGGACCATTATTATTTATTATATACATAAACGACATAGATATCGGCATAGACAGCAACATAAGTAAATTTGCTGATGACACTAAAATAGGACGTGTTATCAAATCTGACGAGGACTCGGCAAAACTACAGGAAGATCTAAACAAATTTTTCGAATGGTCTGAAAAATGGCAGATGAAATTCAATGGACAAATGTAAAGTACTCAGTATAGGAGATGTAAACAGGGAAACCAGATACCAGATGAACAACGATGCCATAGAGAAATCCGACTGCGAGAGAGATTTAGGAGTAATGATAAGTAGGAACCTTAAGCCAAGTAAACAATGTGTTTTTGCTCGTAACAAGGCTAATAAAGTACTTGGGTTCATACAAAGGAGTGTTAGTTACAAGACTAGCGAGGTCATCCTAAAACTGTATCTTGCTCTTGTGAGACCACACCTGGATTACGCAGTTCAGTTCTGGTCACCGTATTACAGAATGGATATAGAATCCTTGGAAAGAATTCAGAGGAGAATGACAAGACTAATCCCGGGCATTAGGAACCTTGAGTATAGAGACAGGTTAAAGCATCTTAATTTGCACTCCCTCGAGAGACGTAGAGCGAGGGGCGACCTGATAGAGGTGTATAAGTGGAAGACAGGGCTAAACAAAGGGGACATTACAAAGGTACTCAAATTATCCAACCAGGAGCGAACTCGTAACAATGGTTTTAAATTAGACAAATTTAGATTTAGGCGTGAAATAGGTAAACACTGGTTTGGAAACAGAGTAGTTGATGAATGGAACAAGTTACCAAATATCATCATTAACTCGAATTCGCTGAATTGCTTCAAACATAGGTTGGATGCTCATATGAGCAATAGGGGTTGGGTGTAAACGGAACTGCCCAGTATGGGCCAATAGGCCCGCTGCAGTTTCCTCCATTCTTATGTTCTTATGTTCTTATGAGCAACCGGTGTCCCTGATGATCGTAGATGCCCATGACCCATTTATAGTTCCGCTGACACAATAGCTGGGACAGCTTCGGTCTTCGAAACAGAATCCGACCTCGAAGCTGGGCGGATGAATGCCCGTAGACTTGAAGGCGCGTGGATTCTTGGGACACCGAGAACGAATGTGCCCCATTTCTCCGCAGTTGTGGCACCGCACGGCTGGTGAGCTTTTCCCCTCTACTCCTGGGGAAGGTTCCTTGGAAGTCGGAGGCTTCGCAATCTTCACTACAGGAGGGGAAGACTTGGGGTAGGCGTTGCGAGCAGACGCCCAGTTGTCGGCAAGATGCACAGCTTCTCCAAGCGTCGCTGGCTGGTGTTCTTTGATGAAAATTCTCAAGTCTGGAGGTAGAGAAGACAAAAACTGATCTAATATCATGAAGTTAGAGAGACACTCAAAGGTTTCTTCAACCCCTGATGTCTCCAGCCATTGTTGAAATAAACGACCCAGGTGAATCGAAAACTGCTGGTACGTTTCTCCCGCTCTAATCTTCGTTCTACGGAAATCAGCACGATAACCGTCAGAAGTCTTGCAAAATCCTCGCAAGAGAGCTTGCTTCAACAAGAAGTAATCTCGGGTGATGTCGGCAGACAGGGACGTGTAAATTTCTACCGGCTTACCACTCAGTAGGCTACCCAACCTTACAGCATAGCTATCTGGGGCTACACCAAGCAGCTCAGCTACCCTCTCAAACCTAACAAGGTAGGAGGCGATGTCTTCTCCTTCACGGTACACAGGCAAGCTGGGTTTTACCACATTGTCTTGTATATGGCCAGAGGATGCTGGTCTACTTGAAGCATTAATCCTAGCCAGTTCTAGGTCCTTTTCTGCCCGCAACTTAGCTAATTCGGACTCTCTTTCTTTCTCTTTCTGACGTTCCTCCAACTCTCTTTCTCTCTGGCGTTCCTCCAACTCTCTGGCGTTCCTCCACCTCTCTCTCTTTCTGACGTTCCTCTCTCGCTCTCTGACGTTCCTCTCTCTCGGCATTCTGTTGGGTGACCACATACTGACCAATGTCATTACCTGTCAGACCCAGGGCCACCGCTTGATCTTTCCACACCTCAAAAGCAGACATAATGATCCGAAAGGCCAAGAACAAAGAGAAAAAACAAACAACTTACCCCGCAAATAGCCAAAGGTAACTCACCTAGTGGCTCAATCAGACCAGTAAATGATTTGATCCGACTGGAGGGAACCTCGTTCCGCACCCAGCCCAGCTGAATCACCTCAGGGTAACGAAACCGCACCAGGTGAAACAACAACAAAAATGCTATGACAGCATCCACAGTGCACCCCAACCAACACTAATTAACTTCCCCACGTACAAGGGAGAGCAACAAAATTAGCACACAGAAGGAAGGGATAACCACTGAACAACACTTGCTTCCGGGCCACAGACAGCAAGGTGGCGCGCTCACGGCGACTTACAACAACACCGGAACGAATGTTAAACCTCAGAAACCAAAGGTCAGAGATAATCCTGGCAAGGTCGCCACTTGTAAAGGCCTGGGACTTAGGGATAGAAATCCCTTACCAGGCTAATCAGGATCTTAATAAAGGAAAGTCAAGGACCATGGTTTTCCGAGGAATAACAAACAACTGTTTGAGATTGGCATCTCTTTACTATAAAAATATAACACAAAACTCTGACACCACTCAACAAACATCAAATAATTACGGGAGTCAAACAATTAAAGGAAGCAAACACTTAAAGGAATCAAACAAATAATGGGAGTCAGCAATTAATGGATTCAAACAATTAAATGGAGTCAACAATTGATAGAATCGAACAATACAGGGGAGTCAGCAATTAATAGAATCAAACAATTATAGAATCAAACCATGAACAAATATTTTCCTACGGCAGTGGCCCTGGGGGAAGGTTCTGGAACACGGTGATGCACACTCAGGGTAACGAAACGTCCACTTCGACTCCACACTCAGCGACGTCTTGAAAAGGCAGGAGAACACCGGGGCACCGACGGAATGTGATGAACTGATGATCGTGGTATGCGGTAGTGGTAGATGACCAGAGAGTTAGCAGTTGATAAGTGAAGGTCTGGGAACACAGCCCACGAGTCCAGGACCTATGATGAGATCACAGCCAGAATTTGACGGACAGCAGGGTAGCTAGATACTGACGGTATGGCGGCTGGGTTGAATCTGCCGGTGGCGGAGATAGTCGCTGCCGTTCTCACCTCCGTCCAACTACCCCAAGTGTCGTCTGCACCAGCAAACGAGCGAGTTAGCAGCGGTAACCAGCCGGAGGATCGTTTCCGCCCTTACACTGAACCTCATCTTTTTTCTTCATAATGTTAGATTCCTTCTTTTGTGGTGATGACCTAAAACTTGTACAGGAGGTCCCCGACTTATGAACGCCCGCCAATACGAACAGGGTTAATCTTCAAATTTACAGTATTTTATTTACAAGTATGGTAAGTATATAGCATATGTTCCGACTTCCGAACATCGTCAGGCACGGAACCTGTTTGTAACCCGGGGACCCCTATATTGATACAGTACTGTACTTTTAAAAAAAGGGAGATGTGCAACCAGGAAGCAATGATGTTCTTGGTTTATATGAATATTTGTAAATGGTCCACTTTTATTTATTTTTTTTAGCATAGATAAAGTAGCACAGTACAGTATATTAAAAAATCTTTTTTTTTTTTTTATTTACATAAGTTAATAACTTGTGTTTTTATGAGTTTCTATTTTTTCTTTTGGCATTAAAATGTGTTGCACTGAAAATTCTACTGGTATTACTGTCTTAATGCCCTACAAGCTTGCCGTTCATAGACAGTTGGTCTGTGTGTGTGTGGGTGCGTGCTTGAGCAAGCTGAAATGATTATGTTGAGGTGCATGTGTAATGTGACACTAAAAGACAGAAGACTCTGTCTAGAACTAAGTGGGCAGCTGGGTATTGAGAATATTGGTGAAATCCTGTTTAGAGATAGTCTGAGGTGGTTTGGACATTTGGATGAGAAGTGTTTGAACCTAAATGTGGAATGGAGCCAAGGATATGCCAAGAATGACATGGGGAGAAGTTGTAAGAAATGACATTAGAGCATCGAGGACTACCATCTGGTAAGCCATGCAAACATAAAAAATGGCTGTAAAATAAGGATGATGATGTTGATTCTGTTATTTTGCATACTTGCATGAAATTTCATAAAAATATGTAAGAATTGAACAAATTTGCATACACATGACCCAGTATTTTCATGGTCAAATTTATAAAAGTAACACCAGCAGATGCTCATGAACTTTGCATTACTTCACCCTTGTATTTTAATGGGAAGGTTATGACTGAAGAAAGTGAAAAGAACATGGACATTAATGTACTGTATCTTAAAAAAAATTTTCCTGGATAATCACCATTAAATAAAAATATAGAACCGTTCACTTGTATGCCTCTCAAAGACTCGATTATTGTTCAAGACTCGAATGAATGAATTGGATCTTACACGAACTATTGAGAATACGTACTCTGTACAACTCAAGAAAGTATTGTATAATTTATGAACAATAGTAACAAATATTAAAGTGGAATATAGTACATTATTAAAATGAATGTCAAACTGTCAAAACATGGTGAATGACTTAACACCACAGGCATCATGAGTTTTGATAGATCTAATATTATAAGAAGCTTCCTGTTTTTATATCAACAATCATAATTATATGGGAATGTCACAAAATAAAAGAAACCTTTACCAAGCTGTACTGAATAGCTCCAACAATATTACATATTAAGATCATTAGTGCATAGCACCATTATTGAGTAACAAAGAATTCTATCTCAATCTCTTATAACTGGACTGGTATAATTATTTTTGTCCTTGAACAATAAAAGATTGGGGTAGACTTCTCTAATCGTTAGTTACTCAAAAATGGTAACATGCATTAATGGACTTAATATGTACAGTGCATACATATACTGGGTGACCCAAAAGTCACACCCTATAAGGATTTTAATAAATATAAGGAAAAATTTTTAGTATGTATCTACAGGAATATAAAATCCAAATAAGAAAATGCGAGGAAAAATCATAATGTAACACTTCTCTAGTGCATGAATGCATGGTGCCTGATTTTGCACTTCCACTGACTTCCACTCCCCCCCCCCCCTCTATAATCTGGTGTCCGTGGTAGTAAAACTTGTCTTGCGAGGTCATAACTCCTGTTTCAACATGGCTACAACCACTACATTGGTGGTATCCTTTTAAATGTTGACAAACTTGACTCTGACTAACTAGAGGCAGGTTGGTAACTTAATGTAGAGAAAATTACCTGTACCTGACAGATCACTAATCTTAGTACTATACTGTACACTGACAACAAGCCGTCCATTGGTGGACCTCCCTGGTTAAACATACAGGTGGGGTCACTCAGCACCTGACAAGTTCCCGTCTTGATGTATTCCTCTCATTACTGTATATGAGTACCTGTACTTGCTGTCCACCAGACAAGTGCTGGGCACGGAGACTAAAAAACATGAATGGCCTGCCGGGCACTGTTGATCTGGACAGCACTGTCTCAAGATATCCATGTAGTTTTGCTTTCAACCAGACTCGCCAAAGATTTTCAGAAATTGCTCTGAGAAACAAATCAGATGGTACGAAGGCAACTCCTTTACTCCCAAATTAGGCATAAAAACCACTATCACTGATATATTTTTATAACCAATTTTGGCTTTTAGGTATTATATTTACATGTACAGTAATGTCTTAGTGTTGTGGTCACTCCAGGAAGGTTATGCTAGGTCACTTCTCAAATGTTATGCCATTCATGAAGAAAAAAAATATGTTATTGTCCTCAAGATTTGATATTAAAAAAAAGTAAAATTCACACTGTGTTTAAAAACAATCTTCTTTAAAGTGGGGACAAGTACCCCATCTCAAAATTTCTAGTACATACTGTACTTATAGTTACTAACCACCCCTTAGTATTTATAGTAGTTGCCAACCACCCCTTAGTATTTATAGTAGTTGCCAACCACCCCTTAGTATTTATAGTAGTTGCCAACCACCCCTTAGTATTTATAGTAGTTGCCAACCACCCCTTAGTATTTATAGTAGTTGCCAACCACCCCTTAGTATTTATAGTAGTTGCCAACCACCCCTTAGTATTTTATAGTAGTTGCCAACCACCCCTTAGTATTTATAGTAGTTGCCTATAGTATTTATAGTAGTTGCCAACCACCCCTTAGTATTTATAGTAGTTGCCAACCACCCCTTAGTATTTATAGTAGTTGCCAACCACCCCTTAGTATTTACAGTATAGTAGTTGCCAACCACCCCTTAGTATTTATAGTAGTTGCCAACCACCCAATTAATATTTCTAATGGTTGTCAACTGCTCCCATCTCCTTATTACTGTACTGTATTATCAGTGGTTATATGGTAACAAAGGAAACACACTGATAACTTTATCCCTAAAGTTTTGTCATGAGACTGTCTTAAAGGAATGCCTTTTGTGATGAACGTTTGGAATAAAGTTTACTGTATTGTAATCATATGTCCAAATGAATCTTATGTATTACAAAGAACATACAGTATTAATATTTGGCAATTGTCCCCTCTCTTATCACTTCGAATACTGTAGTTACCAACTGCCCTTCCCCAATTTTATATGCTCTCCACACTTCAAAATAAATAACTCCCTTCCCTCGGTCCAAATAACCCCTGTAACTCAATGCAAAATGGCCCCCTACAATCCTAAATCAAACACCATGTATGCCCTAAAATCAAACATTCCCTAATATCTCCACTTCCTGTCCTTAGGGCTGCTGGTTTGTGCCATGGTCACCTCTATTGTCTATTGGGAATAGCTACCGAACTACAGTTGCAAAGTGAAGGCCCTTAACTTGTTAAGCACAGTGCAGGCTACGGGTCTCTTATCTACCGTAAGATCAACACTGATCCTATCGGGCTAATAGGACATACTTTTAGTCCACGAAGTCATATGCCTCCAATAATTTCAATAAAAGCACCACCAAGTAAAGAACCTCATTCTATCAATTTAATTTTTAATTTTAATCTCCGCTTAAACTCCCTTTATTCTTTAGTCATCAAGTTGCGAAACCCCCTGACTGATCTTCACGCGTCTATCAGAGTGCATTCAGTGAGCCAGCTTACAAAACAACCCCATAAGCATTCTCATTAATTTTTACTTTTTAGTTCTAAGACAAAACTGGAGAATAGACTGAGCTCATAGGACCACAGCACACTTTACCGTTAAGAAATGTTCTGCTTTCCATCACAAATTTTGTCAGCACAATGGGTTTATATTGTTGATTGAAAACTTGCTTGGCCTACTATTGGATATTAAAGTGGCTTACTCTCACTACAACCGTTCAGCTGTCCTCACCTCAACCAACCAGTGGTGAGTTCCATACCACAGCCTCCACTCCTGAACCGCTCACTGATTAGTCACCTGCCGTCCTCGCCCAGCCAATCAGCGGTGCCTTTCATCTCGTACCTCGAATCTTGAGTAAGCAGGATTGTATAAATACCCCCCTGCCTCGCCGTGAAGTATAATAAGCAGCACCATATAAATAAATCAATACTAATACAAAGCTCTGATGACCTGAGGGAGCAAAACAAAGAAAAAATTAATAGATTAGATGAAGCGATCTGGTTGAGCCCAGATTCTTTTCACTACTGTATTTCAGTTTCACCACTTTTCTTCAATCCCTAATAATCTTTCATCTCATAACTCATGACTCCAATGCCAATGAAGGTCATTCTACTCCACGATCTCAAGCCGACAAGACCTCCTTCCAAGAAGCTTGTAGTGGATACTCTCCCCTACTACTGTCGCTGACCAGCCGATCCCGCGGCGAGTTTCTCAGCCAAGCCTAGCTGTCTGACTGCGCGGTGGTCGGCCTGCAGTGACATTCACTTCCGGCGGACTCGTATATATACCCCAGCCTCGCCGTGAAGAGATTTCTACTCAGCGTTCTTAAACAGACAAGACCTCTCAACAAGCTCCTCACCACACAGCAACTCCCTAGCACTGCATTGTATATAATATATACATAGAAAATGCCACAGTGAGTTTCCCTTCTCACCTCCATCCTTAGTGCGAGACCTCATAACTCTAATGCTACAAATGGTGACACCCGGAGTAACGCACTCACACAGGATGGATGAGAAACAGATTACTCTTCCAGTCTTCAATCACAACATTGAAGACTGGCTAATCCACATGGAGGCAGCTCTCATTGGCTCAACAGCTACAGACGAACAGAACTACGTCGCCCAGGTCTGTTCCCTGCCCACAGAAGTCGCCACACAAGTCTCAGAAGTCATTACTAAGCCCTGAGATGATGACAAATTCGCAGCTCTACGAAACGCTCTCAATAGGTGATACCAGTGGTCTGACACCAGTCTCCTGCAAGACCAATCCGGTCTCTCCCTCGGCAACTCGACGCCTACACGTCTCTGGGACGAGATGCCGAGACTGAACTCCCGCCACACAGACAGGCTTCCTGACACTATCCTGTGCCAGCTTCACACTTAGAAGCTCCCTGCAGAAGTTCCTCTCAGAATTGGACTACTCTACTACCTCGGCGACCTATGCAGCCACGGCAGACAGAGTATTCCACAAATACACTGCTGTGCGCCATGCTGTCACGAACAACTCAGTGGCCACACCGTCACTTAGCTCCGGTTTCATCAACCAGATCAACGCTCCTCAGGATGGACACCCTCGAGCAGCTCTACTCCTCCAAGCCTGCTGCTGATCCTGCCCCGGACCCACGCACTGTGTCCTACCGACCCCGTCCTGCCTTAAACGCCGCTGCCAGCACAGTATACCTACCTTCTGTTGGTAGCATCAACGTTTTGGTGCTAACGCTAGACGATGTGAGGCTCCCTGCAACTACATGAGGAAGCGACGTCGACGGGGATTGGTAAACGGCACAACCTCCGCCACTTCAGGCGTCTCACCTCTGCATATCACCGACCACATCCTTGGACTCAGTCACCTACGTGTACAGGCTGCCCAGTGCCTGGCCTGCTAGTCCTCTTAAGACAGTGATTTTCAAACTAGGGTCCGCGAAAAGTTTTTGAGAAATAGTGTGTTTAATGTTTGTGAGAGATTTGGTGATTCCAATTCGCAGGATATTTTGGATTTGGGTTGAAATGAACGAATGCTTTGGCAAACATCAAGGTACTTTCCATAAACATTATAGTTTCGTAAATACAATTCATAAGTTTTGGATAGATAATTATACATACGTCAACATATTAGATAAAAACGTATATCAATTGACGTGTGGTAGCAGGTTAATTTGACGTACAATAACCTAACGTGACAAGTTATGTATCCTAGTGTGTGATAATGTTACAGCTGAAGCGGGAATATCGGTGAAATTACCTCGAGTAGAAAAATATTCCAATGACAATATCGGATTTTGGTGACAACATGAGGTAAATTGATTAATGTAATATTCCTGATAATGTCGACATAGTACATAACAAGTCAAAGTGAATTACAGAATATTACCAACAATACAGAATTACAATGGGAAAGTAGATTTAAAATAACATCAATGGAATAAAGTGAACAGGTAAATATTACGATAAATGCCAGAACAGACAAAGCCACAAAAAAGTGACTGAGGGGGAAATATTTCGAGAGAAGGCAAATGGTAAATACATGAAACCTAAATAAAATATACATGGAAAATATTCACATGAAAAATATATT